TTAATGTATAAATTAATATAAATTTATGGTTCCTAAAAGACAGGTTAATAGCTGAAAAACAGTACAGCTTGGTGTTGTAAATAAATTATAAATAAAACAAATAGTTTTGTAAAACATCTAAAATTCACATCTACACTTTCTAAAATTAACAGGGAAAGTGTTATATCTTAATAAAAGTTTTATGAATTTTAAACAATTTTCTGTCAGTTGAGATCTGTGCATGAAACAACAACAAAGATTGGGAAGAAGGCGGGGCTTAGCAGTGAGAAGACGGACTTTCAGGCAGTTCCTGAGAGACCATCTANTTCTTAAAGACTTCCAGTGTTGGGGCATTCACAACTTCTGGAGGCAAGCTGTTCCACTGATTAATTGTTCTAACTGTCAGGAAATTTCTCCTCAGCCTTATTTTAGCCTTTCTTCATTAGTATTGCATACTAAAAGCCTGACCTACCCAGCAATACTTAGAAAACTTCATTCCTTTCTTTTACTATCCCAATAATGTATTTATGACTTTGAATTCAAAAAGTGATTTATCCCTCTTAGATACTCTTTTTTTACAAGTTCCCAAAAGGGAGGAGGACTCTTGTCTGTTTACATATTAGTATCCTTATAGTTCAAACATAATTAATTTAAAACTGGTTCACATTTTCCAGAAAGGAGATCAGTATACTATGGGGAAAAGAAAAGCAACACAAAATTCATAACTATGTGAAATAGATACAATGAGTAACAACATATGTTTAAAGTTCAGTAGTAGGGTTTTTACAGTGTTTAAACCATGGCGCTTCAGAAGGTTGCACCTTGTCTCTTCCAACAAGGAGAAAAGTTGATTAAAAGAATGGGGCTTCTACTCTTTCAAGACATTTTACTACAATGCTTCATCCTTTGGGGCTATCAAGTCTCTTGCAAGTCTCTTGCAACTGGATGTGCAACTAATGTGAAATAAGTTGCATGATGCCAAATTGATTGATTGAGTGATTGTGTGCCATCAAATCTTAGTGATCACACAGATAAATGTTCTCCACAACAAACTGTCCCTAACTTGATCCTTCAGGTCTTCATTGCCATTATAATTGAGTCCACCCAGCTTGCTATTGGTTGTCCTCTTCTCTTTTCTTCTATCTTTCCTACTATTAGAGCCTCTTCTAAATGTGTGTGAAAAACTTTTCCAATGAATACAATTACTGATATCATTTTGGTTAGATCTGGGCAATAAATGAGCATCAGTGGTGAAATCAACTTACCTTCACTACCGGTTCGCAAATGTGGGTGCATGTGTGCAGGATCTTCATAGGACTGCTGCATGCACAGTGATTCAAAAACGCAGGGCGTCAAAAACAGGATATGATGACATCCAGGTGGGTGGGCGGAGCCTGCTACTGAGCACGCCTGTAAAGGTAAGTAGAACAGCAGGAGGGAGAATCCACTGTGCCACGTGATTTAGATTAGCTAGAAAGCAGGAAATCAGACTATTCTAGCTAATATAAATCATGCATCACAGCTGATCATTGGAAATGCCAGTTCACCCGAACCAGTAGTAAAAAAAATGCTACTAGTTCGGGAGAACTGATATTTCCAACGATCAGCTGTGATGCACGATTTATATTAGCTAGAATATTTATATTCGTCTGAACCGGTAGCATTTCACCCCAATCAGCATTTTAAAAATGAAATGTTGATCTTTACAACATAGGGATTCTCAACATTTTCAGGGCCACAATTGCCTGCTATGGGCTTTGGCAGACAAAATAAATAACAAACCCCAAGCTTTGTTCAACTCTCTTAGATTATTTGGAATGCCAATAATTCCTAATAATCTAAGAGGAGAATACATTGTTTCTTCAAGGTCTGTCCCATTTAAACACCTCTTCTGAGCAATAAACAAGAAGGGGATGGGCTCTTGAGAACTGGCTTTTTATCACATTTGCTTTTCACCTCAAGCTTTATGCTGTTGCAAAAAGATAATAATATAGAATATGCAGAGTTAAGACAGCTGAATACTCCTTAACTCCCACATAAGAGAAAGATAAAAGATCAGTGAACAGAACTCCTGTTACAATAGCAGAATATGGAGTTCATTTCAACTTGGTTCCCAAATATAGTCATTTAGCTTCGTATAAATTAACTAGCCTTAAATAACTTCATACTGAAATAGTTTTTGTCTCTGCTTAGGGATGAGACTTGCCCGGTCTGGTGCCTCTCAAGAGATGTCAGCCAGTTAGGAAATGCATTTAGACTTTTTGTATGACAGTCTTAACTATCCAGACTTTGTGCCTATCCAGAATTCCTTCTGCCTTGTCTGGCGGAGAAAAATTGACAAAGTAAATGATACATTCAGAAAAAGTCTACTCTCAAAGCAGAGACTTGGATGAAAAATGGGGTTGATTCTTCAGAAGACCCTGGATCCACTGTGGTAATAAGTCATTTTATATGGTATTGTGAAGAGATGTTTCCAAAATGTTACAAAAAGAATCAAAGTGTTTTTGGGTGGTAGGAAAGAGGGCAAAAGGGAGAGTTAATGTTGTTCCATGTTGTCTGAGGACCACACAGGCACTTCATGAAAATCCACGATATTTTTCAGCCCCATCACCCTGAGCAGTTGTAGCAACTTCAGAATTGTTTTGCTATTTATTACAAAGAATGAATGATCTATTATTTCCTGACAGGCTGTTTTTAATAAGGATGAAATTCTTGTTGCCAATTTTTTTAAAAAAACCTCTCACATCTTTAATTCATTAGATTGGAGATGGAATAATCATTCCAAGCGCATGCTTCAAAGGTTATTAGATTTTTCAATGCATTCACCCCTCTGCAGTTGTCTGAAACAGTAAATCTAAGCACCAGTTTTTCCTCAGTGGAGACTATCTTTCAAATATATGGCATTTTCATTTTCATAATCTAGCTATGGGGGGAGGGAATCACTCGGTAAAGAATGTTGTTTCAATAAGAACGACCTATTATCTATTGAAAGGTGTGGAGTCTTTTTCATCTATCTCAAAAATAATAATGATAGTGACCCCAAATGGTAGTTTTAAATATCACCAAAAGTTTGAAAAGCTTGCGAACTGTGCTAGGAAAAAACTAGGTGTTTTCTTGGGTAAAATTTGAAACCAATCTACTTTCCATTGGAAATGCCAAGTAGTCCTAACTGTAACTACATAAGTTTCAGATGAATTTGCAAATGAGAAAACTCTAAGCTTTTTGGTCTATTTTGTTTTTTATGACTTATCTTGTTTCTTAATTCATCTTTTTACTCTTAGGGTTTCTCCCAAATGCATTCTTCAACTCTTTCCCATGTCCTTCTTATAGTTTAACATACAGGTGTATTTGGTGAGGGGAAGGGGCTATTATTCAAGTAAACACTGCCAGGATATAGCAACTGCTATTAAAGATTGTTAAAGAGTTTGTGGAATTAAAAAAATTGACACTACCATTATTGCAAATGAAGATTATTTCATGCCAACAGAAGACAGAATCTAGCAGAGTTTTCATGGGTCTCAAAAACAACAAAGCAACATTGAACCTGATTAGAATGTAGATGGACTTGATTTGAACCACTACCAAACCAGATCTGTAGATAGCATCAGGAAGGCAGACAAAGCTGCTGGAAGAAGCAGCACAAAAACTACCCACTGTTGCCAGAAAAGTGCCTCAGTCAGCAGGAGTTGAGTTCAACTACAGGATGGGTTTTTCCATTACCACAGTAGAATGTATTGTTTATTTCTATCTTAAACATAAAAAATACCAATTCTTATATTATCCCTTTCCTGGGACAACTATAAGGAAAAGGGTAATTATGTGTGGCCATTTTTTTTCTTCAAAAAGTTAATGAAAGTCTTTATTTTGAGGTGTCCTTAATGTGCTCTCTGAGCTTGCTCTTTTTCTTGCAGACATTTCATTACCCTAACTAGATAACATCATCACTAGCACTGATGATGTTACCTAGTTAGGGTAATGAAACATCTGAGCTACAAATATTCTCCTTTATTGGTACTCTTTATTTTATTTGACTCTGCACCACTTTTTATCAAAATGGAATGCATAGCTGAAAAATTAGTTATTTTCCCAACTCACATAAATAGAATTAAATGAATAATATTTTCTTCATGTGTTCTTTTGTAGCACAACCACCATGCCTTCCGATATCAGAATGACGGATGGACTCATCTCTGTCAATCCATCTATTTGGTTCTCAAACCAGGTAGACCAAGAGCCACACCCAGACCTTGTATTCCACCATCATCTCAAAAGTTGTGCCCTTGAACGCACCATAGCATCACTTTTCATTGTCTCTGTCCTCACAGCAATGGCCTCTGTTTTTTTGGATCTACTGAATCCTTCCTGACAAAAGAAGGTCTTTTGAAGTGCAATATCCAAAAAAGGGAAAGCAGATAACATTCACCTGATGATATATCTTCACAATTCCTTGCTTTACCTGGGCCTTTCAAGTAAAGAAGTGCTAGCACTACTAACTGCTATAAGACTCTCTTGCCCAGATGGGTTTTTAAAACAAACACTAAAGCTTTATTTTGTACATTAACTTAACATCTTCTTTTTGTAGAAGGATCTTTATTTTCCATACTGCTATGGGGTCTGTAAAATATATGTGTTATATACATGTATGTATGTATGTATGTATGTATGTATGTATGTATATGTATATATATATATATATANAGCCGGTGAGATTTGAACCGCTGAACTGCAGATAACAGTCAGCTGAAGTGGCCTGCAGTACTGCACCCTAACCACTGCGCCACCTCGGCTCTTGCTGTACTGTGGCTGGGTAGAAATAAATTCTAATTTGCTATCTTATCTTTTGTCTCTTTTGTGAATTGAATCTTAACCTCAGCTTTGAATCCCAACCCTCCTCTTCCTCTTTCGCTTTTTAATTCAATGCTAGTTCATGACTTCAAATCTGCATATTTACTCCCACTCTTAAGATTACAAATCCTACCTTGCTTGCCCCTACATTTATTTCTCAAGCATTCCATATCAATCTACAAATATCTGTGACTCCTGATCATTCTCTCCTCCTCCTCCTCACCTGGGCGCAGAAACAGATATTGGAGGGAAAAAGGCTTCAATGAAATTCAAAATGGAATATAAGAACGTTGAGTGTGGAATCCAACTTTGAGCAGAACGTTGAACAGGGATTCACTCACCATTGGGCAGTGGTTTAATGTCCGCATCTCCTTGCTGGTTTGAATTGTCTGATTGTCCGGATTCTAAAACACAGAAGGAAAAAAAGGAAGCTGTCATCAATATATTGCTAGAACTAAGAATCAGATGCATGTTTTTGACAATGTTGGGCCCTGATTTATGGCATCACCTACTTTGCTGCCGTCAAACTGAATGAATGAAGAGAACTGCTCTAAAATTTATAAACTACTGTATTTCAGTTTTCCTTCGCTTCCCTTAGAATTTTAGAAACGTAGGGCTGGAAAGACCTTGGAGGTCTTTTAGTCCAATTACCTGCCCACAGCAGGAGACTTTATATCATCCAGGTCAAATGATTGTCCAATCCTTTCTAGAAAACCTCAACAATAATACAGCCACAACTTCAGGAGGCAAGCTGTTCCATGGGTTAATTGCTCTCATCGTCAAAAAGCACCACCTGTGTTCCAGGTTGGATATCTCTTGAATGAGTTTCCACCCGTTGCTTCTTGTCCTATACTCAGGTACTTTGGAGAATTAAGTCAACCTCCACCTTTCTATGGCAGCCCCTCATGTCACCTCTAATTCCTCTTTTCCTTAGGCCAAACATAGTTAGCAATAGCAATAGCAATAGCAGTTAGACTTATATACCGCTTCATNACACACACACACACACACACACACATACCAAGATTATTCACAACTTTGCCAGGATTTAGGAAATAATCTGAATGTTCCATCAAACAATAATGGGCATATTTTCCATTATGCCAGGTCCCAGTTTCCTCCTATAGTATTGGAAAATTTTGGTGCAAGTGGAAGATATGCACTGCATGCTAAATAGCAAGGGAAATAAGCTCGATTATTTAGATTTATGAAAATTAAAAGAGGGGAGAGATGTTGATTACTTCCTTCCTCCACAATGGAAGACAGGATAAGAAGCAGGGGGACAGGGTTTTAATTATTGCACTGAAATAAGGCAAAATGTTAGGCTCCAATTCTATACCTACGTCCATTAAGCCTACTGGAACTTATTTCTGTGTAGGTGCATATAAGATACAGTAAACGCCACTCTACTCAAAGTGCAGGGGAATAATTGTATCTGCTGTCTTTGGTGTCTGAAACATGTAATAAAAACCTCCTAGTGCTATCAGATCACAATTGTAAGCATCCAGACAACTTGCTAGGTGGCATTTCTGTACTTTGTTATCATCTAGTGGTCATCTAAATTTTTGGAGTTCCTTCTGATAGATACCCTGTTCTCCAAGTCCACATGTAGAGCCGGGTAGATAAAATTAAATCTTACTGGATCTTAGTGAATGGATAATATCCACAATATCGGCTTGTTCAGGTTTCAAAGGCAAACTGCTTATAGTATTTAGAATTCTGTCCTTGTCCAATGTGAACAAACAGGTCCAGGCCTATTCTAGGCTAGCTCTATGCTTGACCTCTCCTCCCTTCCAGGCTGTGTGCTTCCCAATATGAACATCTGATAATTTAGGAGATAGAGTTGGGGGGGTGGGGTAGAGAACTGGCGCCACGTCTCCCAGCATCTTTGGTTTGAAACAAGTCCCTTCATTCTATCTAATGGCCTTTTAAAAAAATCATGATTTTGTGAATAAGCCATAATGCCTAGGCATAAAGCCAGCCTGTATATGATGGTAGCCAACTCATTCCTTTGATAGCAGGCCTGCATGAATCAAGTACAAGGGACGGGGAGGAAAATCCAATTTAAAGAACAATTTGGTTATGCTATCTTTCCTTCCTTTTCACACTCAGCTGTTCTCTGGAGGGATTCTCCCCACAATCCCAGCCAGGTTCAGATACAGGTTTGGGTAGAATAAAATCTTCTTCATGCAATTTAAACTCCAATAAATATCCATATAGTTTTTAAATTACTTTTTCATCAACTTAAATTACTACAAGATGTTAGATCGAGAGGAGGATTTGGGTTACCTGATTGGGAGCTATACTATCAGGCAGCAAATCTGATGTGGATTAAGGAGTGGATATTATTAAAAAACTCTAGATTATTGAATGTAGAAGGTCACGACTTGCTGTTGGGATGGCATGCTTTCCTATGGTATAAGGGTACTAAATCACATGGTTACTTTAGAAGACATTATATAAGGGAGGCGTTGTTAAACTGGGAAAGGGTCAAAAGACTACATTATTTAAAAATTCCAGTCTGGATATCAACAATTGAAGCATTTTCATATCCAATAATCTAGAGTTTTTTAATTAATATCCATTCCTTAATCCA